TAGTACTTATGGTTACGAAAATGACACTAAATTTAGTACATTTTGGATTTCGGCTGAACGGATAGAGCTGAAAACCTGAAATTTGGAATTAAGATTACTGTTGAGGATTTGGCTACAGAGAAAGCTTTGGAATATCGTATGTATATGTAAGAAAAGTACCAAACGGCACTATATTTGGCACAATTTGGATTTGGGTAAACGGAGAGAGTGGGAAACCCAAAATTTGGAATAATGGTTGCTGTTGGAGTGCCGAATAGAGATATTGAAGTATATTACTTATGTGTACTAAATGGTACTATATTTTGTACAACTTTATTATTTATGAACAGATAGAGCTGGACTCCAAAATTTTGGAATTAATACTACTATTGGAATGTAGAGCTGAGATATGGGGTAGATTTTAAAATTCATACTTATGTGAAGTAAACTGTACTAAATTTCGTACAATTTGATTTTGAGTGAACAGATAGAGCGGGACTCCTGAATTTTCGAATAAACATTACAGTTGGAGTGTAGAAATGAGGTAGTTTTGGAAATTCGTACGTATGGGTATGCAGTTAAGGAAAAATTTTGAATATTGCAAATTCGTACTTATGTGTACTAAATGGTACTAAATTAAGTACAATATTGGATAGAGCTAGAATCCTAAATTTTGAAATTAAAATTACTGTTGGAGTGTAGGATTGAGGTAGTTAATTATTTCCTACTTATGAGAACAAAAAGTACTAAATGGTACCAAATAATGTTGACACATGGAAGTAGTGTTGACAATTCGTAATAATTTGTACTAAATGGTACTAAACTTGGTAAAAATTAGATTAGATCGAGCTGACATTGGATTAAAATGACTGTTGGAGTGTAGGGCTGAAATATATAGGTTGTTTTGGAAATTCGTTCTTATATGTACGAAAAGTAACATATGGCACTAACATTGGTACAATTTTGATTTAGTGGAGCGAATAGAGATGGAATCCTGAAATATGTAAACTATTCAAGTAGTTTGGTATAAATGGTATAACAATTGGAACAGTGTGGCGAATAGATAGAACTGGAATTCGGAAAAAAAAATTCTGTTGAAGTTTGGATTAAAGTAGTTATGAAAATTCGTAATTATTGGTACGAAAATTTTAAATTTTATCTAAATTTCGTACAATTTAGATTTAGGAAAACGAATGGAGGTTGAATCCTGAAACTTTTTTTCCGGAAATTTATAGTTATTTATGGGTATGAAAAGTACCAAATGATACTAAAATTGGTACAATTTGGATTTGTAATTAAAATTTCACAGTCTAGGATTGAGGAATTCAAACTTTGTGAACTGCATAATAAATTTTCTTTGGTTTGACAATTTTCCCAATTGGTTTTTGAGTCAATTTTCTCCAACAAGTTCTGGATCGGGTAAAGATCAAGAAATTGGGCAGATCATGGGAGAACTTCAATCGAATTGTGGAATTAACTACTTTTAGAGAATGTTTTGAGTTGTTATATCGCTGGAATGCACATCTAAGACGCATCTCTTCCTCAGCGAATGGCAGAATCACTTTTTTAATTTGTCACCCTACATGAAACGATCCATAATTCTATAAATTTTATGAATTGGTCCAATTCCAAAATACAACACAAGACCATTGTATTTGCCTTTGCAATAGGATTTTCAATAGAATTTGAAGGTTGTACATTTAGTCTACAAATACGTCTTGTGACACCAAAATTCTTTAAATCAGAAAACAGCACAGTCCTTAATTTTTGGACACAGCTGTTGGGATGGACCTGGGCGAATTCAAGTCTTTTGAAATTTGTAAAGAAATAATTTTTAAATCTACGTTGTTTCGAATTTGAGTAGAAGTTGCAGTGGTTTATAATTAAGAACTCTTGGGTCTTCCCCCAATATAAGTGAGAGATGTCCGAACTTTCCCAAAAAACTTGTTAATTAGCCTAATCATTATAGATTCGTTTAATTAATATTTTGCACCCAAATAAAGTCTACATAAGCCAACTATGCAAGCATTGTGGATTCTAGTTTAAAATTGGCTTGAGTTAAGGTGAACATATATATTTTTAAAACCTTGATCAATATTTTCAGGATTTTTAGACATATTTTCCCACCGAATGATCTGTTATTTTATATTTTGAGTTCTAATTGGATAACAAATTTCCATAAAAAAAATATTTATTAAATTGTTGGTAGTTTTAGGGCTCCTGGGCACTTTTTGCAACCAAATTAGCTGTAATTTGATATTTAAGGTTCTATGTTTCTAGGTGTCCCCAATATAAAGAAACCAACTTTTCATTTCTTTCTAATTTTACAAAAATTCGCCTTCAAAGGCGAATATAATTAAATACCATAGTGGACATAGGTTTACTTCTTTCCTGTGTTCCTTTCAAGGCCTATATAAGGTCGGACAGTAAGGACAGCTGAGTATTACGTTTACTGTCAAATCATATTTTGAAACCTGTAGGGGAGACTGGGGCACTTTCGGCACTTTTTTTTAGAGCTATATATCTCAGTACTTGCTCATCATATATAACAACTTTATGGCTGATTATTCTCCTCGGACACTTAATTATAAAAAATAGTACCAAACAGATATAAAAAAATAGTATTAGTTAAAAAATTTTACAGTTTTGTAAAAAAAGCCAAATTCTCCGAATGTGCCCCAACCCGGGGTAGCTTCGGCATTTGATGGGGCACATTCGGCACCATAGTTATAGCCGGGTAATTGTTATCGCTATCAGTCTGGTTGAAATTTTGATCCTCTAAAAGCTCTATTTGGTTTTAATACGCCACACAATGTTTGAATTATAGGACTTTATTTTCTAGCGGCGGACGTTTACATCTCAAGGTCGCACACACCATCAGAAATAGGGGTTTTCTATCGCATTTTCGTCAATACAAGCACGTTTGATCTTATATATGCAATTTTGAACAATATTAAAGGATTACTTTTAAAGACAAACTCAAAAACATTTTAAGGAAATAATATTGCACAATCTGTATATGGCCGAATGTGCCCCACTTTAAAATGCCGAATGTACCCCGAAAGTATTTTTTATTTTTTTTATTTTATTTATTTATTTATTTTTTTTTTTTTTGATCAGTTTTGTAAAAACATTATATTTTTAAATATTTCTATAATAATACACATCGTAGTTAACCACTTTTTAATAATATTGTGTTAAAAATTTAAAAAGTTTTTTACACGAAATACTTACGAAATGGAATTGAAATATTACAGAAACATCTATAAAAATACCAAAACCCATGTATCTAAATAAGCTTATTAGCTAGAAATTTCAAACTTTGTGTCAGTTATTTATTTCGATATTCGATACCTATGTATCGAAACTAGTGATGTACGGTGAGGGCTTCATATCGAAAACACGATTGCCGAAGGTGCCCCGATGCCGAAGGAGCCCCAGTCCCCCCTACATACATACAAAATTATGTTAGGCGTCAATACGAAAATATTAATATTTTGTCAACATTCAATTCAATTTTAATTTGTATCTTTGTCTTTGTGAAGCCCATTTGAACTATATAAAGCTTTAAAGAACATTTTCAAGTAAATTATCTTACAAAATTGTAAATTGCTTATATAAAAAACGACGATTTGGGCTGTATAACTGGAAGTGGCACTAGTACAGACGGGGAGTACAGAAAAATTCAACTTCCCCTCTTTTGCAAAATGTTCTTCTGTACGACCGTATTACACAAATACGTCGAATCCATATCTTCAAGCTAATAATACAAACCTTCAAACAACATTGAAAATTTATTAAATGAATGACGTACCTATTATTCTACATACCGATTCAAGGTAGATATATAAGGTAGCCGCATCGGCGAATTGGGAACATGATATGTCATAATTGTTAACAAGGCGAATAATAATTAATTCGCCGTAATATATCCAATTTGAAGCGAATTTTATTCCACCAATCAGAACAATGCATTTTTGAAGTATTAAAAATTTTTTTTACATTTTTGATTAAATTGTATAATTTTATTTAAATCCTAAAGTTATGAATTGAAAATATATTTAAGGGTACGAAATGCGCTTGAAATACTATTAAAGAGACAAAGACACAACTTCTAGTAGAATGGAACATTTTGGAAAAGGTCAAGGTAGTCTCTGTATTGTCATTTAAATAATAAATCGAACATCTTCCGCTTTGGCCTATGAAATGCATGTGTTCTACTTCTGTGGTGAAAACGTCGAACGAGCTAGTTGAACTTTAGGTAGGGCGGTTAGGGTCGTGCGTACGATTTTATTCACCTCAAAAGTTAAATACATGTATTTCAATGAATGTTACCCAAATACGCAATGCGTATAAAAATTGAAAGTTGAAATTTTTCAACATTGACAATGCGTATTTTGGATTTTTTGTTTTTTGAAAATAGAATTCCAGTCTTGAAAATTTTGTTTTTTTATAAATGTAAATATTTTTCGGTTAATTAAAAAAAAATGTTTTCATCCATTTTCGCCGTTTTCAATTGGCACACAAGTAGATGAGGTCCTTGCGTATTTGGTTAATACGGACGTCTAATAAACCCTATAAAGCTGAGAAGGTGAGTATTTTTGTACGGAGCGCAATAAATTAGGTTCGAGCCTTAAACTCAAATTTCAGGTTCATTTGAATAATTGTTCACACGTACTAGCAGTAATTCCACTGTGCCCCGAATTTGTCGGCATTTCAGAACTAAATTGTGCGAAATTTTAGACTGAATGGAGGCATTAAAAAACTCCTGTCATAATATTGCCAAATCATTTCAAATTACAAATATTCGGTTGGACACTTTCTCGATATACTATTGCTCAAACAGCTGGTTTAAACCGATTACCTTATTAAATAAATATTGAACTTGGCAACTCTATTTGTCTTTCCCATAAACAGCTGATTGTCATCAATATTTTTTTGTGTGTATATTCAACACAAAATAAACAAAGCGAAGTATTATTTTTCCAGAATTAACAAAGAGAATCATTTCTTATTTGAACGTCTAATAAAATCTTAAAACATGGGAGCAGTTTTAGGATTGTGTTCCGCAGCACAGGTATAAAACATTTTTACATAATTAAAATTAAATGGACCGTATGCTGGAAAGAAAATTGTGTATATGCAAGTGACTGCGTCATATGCGACAGATACTTGAGAAAAATCAATATGTTAATCATGATTGCAGTGCACTTTAATTAAATTATTGTCCACATGAGTCATTTTCTTTAATATTTGTTTTTCTTTGGAAATTCTATTTTAGTGCGCTCTGTGCTGTACTGGTACCGCAGCTTCGATGTGCTGCAGCGCCTGTCCATCATGCAAAAATTCAACATCTTCCCGATTCATGTATGCCTTTATGCTACTTGTGGGCACAATTTTGGGTGCCATTGCCCTTTCGCCTGGCCTACAGGGAACTTTAAAGAAATTACCATTCTGTATCAATTCAACATCGTCGACTAGTTCCAAAGCTTTGGATGCATTTTCCGGAGGTTCTCTGCAATTCGATTGTGAATATGCTCTTGGTTATATGGCTGTATATCGTATATGTTTTGGTCTGGCATGTTTCTTTGCCCTTATGGCTTTGATAATGGTTGGCGTAAAATCATCACGAGATCCGCGATCTCACATACAAAATGAATTTTGGGGATTGAAGTTCTTGATATGTTTCGGTGCCACAATTGGAGCCATATTTATACCAGATGGTTCATTTGGACCAGCTATGATGTGGGTTGGCCTAATAGGTGGTTTATTGTTTATTCTCGTACAATTGGTAATAATTGTGGATTTTGCACATTCGCTGGCAGAAAATTGGATTGGTAAGTAGAAGTTTACTAAATGAGTAATTACATAGTATTAATTATCTGAAGGAAAAAACCATGTTGAGATCGGCCACTAATATATTAGACGTTTGCTAAATGTGTAATTAGATAGCATTAATAATCTGAAGGAAAAATTGAAAAAAATCAACCTCTAATAAAGTTATACAATTGTTCTTATATTTCTAATTCAGTTGATTTAATAATAAACGTATTTATTATTGCAGAAAATGCTGAAAACAATCGTGGCTACTATTTTGCCTTAGTATTTGTAACATTATTAAGCTATGGCTTGTCGATTGCTGGAATTTCTCTGCTCTATATATACTTTACACATGTAAGTTGATTTTGTATCTTATAAAAAATATGAAAAGCAATTAAGAATATATTTCTCCTTTTTCAGACTGGTGGCTGTGGTCTCAACAAATTCTTTATTTCATTCAATCTTATACTATGTGTTTTGGTTAGTGTTCTTTCGGTTCTACCAGCTGTTCAAGAAAGATTACCCCAATCTGGTTTACTGCAAAGTTCATTGGTTACATTGTATACGATTTATTTGACATGGTCAGCTGTTGCCAATAATCCAGGTAAATTGTAATTGAGTATTGTTTCAATTGTGTGTTTTGTATTAATTCCCTTCTTTTCACAGAAAAAGATTGTAATCCTGGTATGTTTAATATAATTGAGGGTAATACCAGCATTACTAGTACTGTGGCACCACCTACACCCAGCTCAAAGGTTACATTCGATACCACAAACATTATTGGTTTGGTTGTATGGATGCTTTGCATTCTATATAACTGTATAAGTTCGGCTGTGGAGGTATCCAAAATCAATAATGATGGCGAAAAACGTGGTAAGTAAATTGTACACTTTATGTCCAAACCACTTTGTAATGTTCACCACACCACCAACACTCTATTTAGATTTTCGATATGGAAATTGGGAATAACTATTTACAATTTATATATTCATGTCAACAAGTCGCCCTCTATAGCCAAAAGACCTTTAACAGGACTATAATCAGAAAATCTTCGGCAGATCTTCTATAAGAAGAATTCTTTCAACAGGGCTTCTATAGCTAGTAGACCTTCAGCCGATTTAAGGTAAATGGTACGCCAAAGTCCCTAAAAATATTACGATTTGCACGAAATTTGCCATAGCGTAATGAAATGAGTCTATAATGTTGGGTGCTAAGTTTCGTGAAATTCGGTTCAGATTTACATATAGCTCCCATATACATTTTCGTTCGATTTGGGGTAAATGGTGCACCAAAGTCCCTAAATATCTTTCGATATGCACGAAATTTGGTATAGCGTACTGAATTTAGTCTATAATGATTGGTGCTAAGTTTCGTGAAAATTAGTTCTATCGGCTTATCAAGTATCTTATATTGATTTAACCAGATTATCAAAATAATCAAGAATATATTTGCCAACAATAGTTTTGATTTCCATATCAAAAATTTCATATCACCAAATCATTCGTTCGTCTATATGTTCTTATTATTATTAATTAAAAAGAAATATTTTTATAATTTTATACTAACAAAATCTATTATTTCTTTTGTTAATTTTTTTATGTAACTGATAATTCAATTGGTGATTGATTATAATATATGGTGAATATACACAACAACAACTACCACCACCACTGTATATGTTCGTTTATCTAACAAATATTTATTGTACAAAAAAATCTAAACATAACTCTTATACTTCATATGCTAACAATAATAGTTTTAACAGAAGTTTTATCAGATGCAGAAACTGGCAGCGATGGCAAAGTCAACAGTGATAATGAAACCGAAAGTGTTACATACTCATGGTCATTATTTCACATTGTGTTCGTATGTGCATCGCTTTATGTTATGATGACCTTAACCAATTGGTACAAGTAAGTAATTAATCATGAAGCTCACCTTAGCAAAACAATGATTAACTTATTCATTGTTTTCCTCTTTTTAGGCCAAATTCTGATATTGAGCTATTTAATGCTAATGCTGCTTCTATGTGGATAAAAATTATATCCAGCTGGATGGGCATATTTATATACGGTTGGAGTTTGGTAGCACCTGCCGTACTGACCAATCGTGAATTCAATTAAATATCTTAGCTATTTAGTATTCAATTGGAATTTCCAGTAGCAGTAGCTGGTATTAATATCGATATATAATTATTCACAAAACAAGACGATGGAAATTAATCTAAATGTAGAAGGCCCAGTAGAGATTGACTATTACACAAAGCAAATAGTTATGCATGTGATTACTTAATCCAAATCGTTTTACGTATATTATATCTTCACGAATACAAAATTCTCTAGTTTGTGAAGAAAGAACAAAGTTAATTGATATCTACTAATTAATCTCATCAAGTATTTACATATATGTTTATTCAAATTTAATAAAAATATAAATAAAAATTAAACCGATATATAAACGGTAGTTATTTGTATAGTTTGTGTATATTTAATTTGGGATTTCCATTAAATCTCTCATGCCAAATGTTGTCTATAGACAACATTCGGGTATGATCTGGAACACCCGGTGAGTTATTTACACTTCACTTCAGAATTTACCTCCTGTTCTGCTTCTCACGTGAATTGAAATTTTTGAACGGCGACAAAAATAAACGTCAACATGGTACTTTGCAGAAATATATATATATATATATAAATGGTGGCAAAAAATGTATACTAACTCATCAATTGAGAACGACTGGACCGATTTGACTCAAAGTTTCTTTCAGTTGTCGGTAATTACAGTGGGAAGGTTTTTATGAAAGAACATTTTAAGAAGAATCCCCTATATGGGAGCTATGCCTAAACGTGGACCGATATATCCCATCTTCGAACTTGACCTGCTTGCAGACAAAAGACAACCCTATGCAAAATTTCAGCACCCTATCTCAATTCCTTCAGAAGATAGCGTGATTACAACGGACGGGCATGGCTAGATCGTCTTAGAATTTTACCCTGATCAAGAATATATATACTTTATAGGGTCTGAAATGAATATTTCGATGAGTTACAAACGGAATGAAAGATTAATATACCCTCCATACTCAAAGACATACAGCCTTATTCTGGATGTCAATTCCATGTGAATTTACTCGCTCTCACCCTTCGGCTTCTTCTGAACAACATTTTCCTGTGATTTTTTTCATATTCTCGCTTTCGCCTTATTCTGAATGAAGTTCGAAAGCGAAAAAATCCCATTTGGGGAAAAATTAGGTATTCTGGATTACAGGGAGTAGGAGAATGAGATGAAATTTTGTGCGAAATATTTCGCTAATAAATTCAAAGGGAGCTGACTACAAAAACATAAGTAATAAATATTTTTATGAAAAATATTTACACAATACTTATTCTATGACGATTTAGAATATTATGATAGCAAATTTTTAACTGGAAAACAACAAATAAATTGACATTGGAAATCCTATTGATAACGATACATGCTGAACCAAATATAGCCAAGGAATGTATGGAGGTAATAAGGAATATTTAAGTCGAGTTTAATGCATTTTGGAGGCGAAATACAACCATTTTGGGTGAGGATCTGTCTCTCAAGAAAAAAAAAATAAAAAATTATGGAAAAACCAAATTAGCCTGATGAGCCGCTTAACAGTGAAAAACTTAAATAAAAATTATGAAAGAACAAAAATAAAGCTACAAAAAATATATTTTTTTAAATTATCGTGTGCATCATTTGAAGGAAGAAATAAAGGAGTAGAAGCAAATCATAACATAACTGGCCACTGTATGAATTTGGGGAGATAAATATCGAAATTAAATAAAAAGGCACACAATTATGTAGTGAAATAATAAGCTGTGAATTAATTAATTCAATCGCAGAATTAATTAATTCAATTTGCTCGCGGTGAGCCATCCGTTGCGTTATGTGTTATCGAAAATACAACAACCACAAGGAAACGATAACACAAACGCTCGAAGTTGTTGTGCGCTGCGCTTCGGAGTTAAATATATTTTAACTTTTTGCGTGCATTAACGCGATAACAAAAAACGCTCAACGCGAACATTCTGTTTAGCCCTTAACCTTATTAAATAAAAAATAGATTTTGAGTGCAGATCTATGATTTTTTTTACATTTTATGAACACATTATCGCGTATTGGCGTTTTTATTGTTAACATGCCTCTGTTATACCTGATTCCCCTGGATATTTTGGAAATGCATTTTGTCGAGACTTTACGGTTTCTTGGCTTGTTCCCGTACTGCAATAATCGACTACTTTTTTACTACGATAACGAATTTTCCTTTATGTTATCGAAGAAAATAGTAAAATCTAGTAGATTCTTACAGTACGGGAACAAGCCAAGAAACCGTAAAGTCTCGACAAAATGCATTTCCAAAATATCCAGGGGAATCAGGTATAACAGAGGCATGTTAACAATAAAAACGCCAATACGCTATAATGTGTTCATAAAATGTAAAAAAAAAATCATAGATCTGCACTCAAAATCTATTTTTTATTTAATAAGCTTAAGGGCTAAACAGAATGTTCGCGTTGAGCGTTTTTTGTTATCGCGTTAACGCACGCAAAAAGTTAAAATATATTTAACTCCGAAGCGCAGCGCACAACAACTTCGAGCGTTTGTGTTATCGTTTCCTTGTGGTTGTTGTATTTTCGATAACACATAACGCAACGGATGGCTCACCGCGAGCCATGGTATAATAATAAAAGGTAACAGCAAGTGTTGTTGTACAAAAAACGATACAACAACCACATGGAAATTTGTTGTTGTAAGTTCTACTAGTGTCAACTCATTTGACAGAAAAATGTAAACAAACAAACAAATTATCATCAAATTATTTTTATTTTGAAAATGAAATATTTTTGAATCCTCAAAATAAAAATTGAAAAAAAAGAATGAAAATCTATCAAATTTATATTTCTATCGCTTCCACATCTTTCCTATAATTGAGCCATTGCCATATATATGTGCAACACATATGAAAATGCTGGGAATAGCGAGTTATTCCTTGAAGAAAGATTTGCTTCCTCAAACTTTCCCAGCAGGCAGATTGAGTAAATTGAATACGGGAGCACATTAATAAAGAACAATTTCAAATTGTATGCGTTCCCAATTTTCCTGTTGGGTGATTTTTAAAAACATAATTTGTCAAATTCATATTGACACTAGTATTACGTTGGAATCAAATCAGCTGGGATTTGATGTTACCTTTTATAATTGTACCATGACCGCGAGCATTCTGCTTAGCCCTTTAAGATTAAACATTAAAAACGTTTAATATTGTTCTCTCTAGCTGTGTTCCCAAACCTGCAATATAGTACTATATTGTACTAGTTTTGGAATTTTTGCTAGAAAAGCGTTCCCTTACGCCGAAAAGTAGGAAAAATTGAAGTTAAATTTAAGAGAGTTAAAACCAAAATGGCGTTCTCTTCTCCTATTTTCTGCAAGACCAATTTGGTCTAGCACGAAATAGTAAATGTAGTAAATTGTGAATTTGACATTTGATTGCCAGAGATATACAGTCCGAAATAAAGCATATGAAAGTTAGCGCTTCAACAAAAGGGACACACGCACACACATTTGCTTGAAAATAAAACCAAATAAGAAATTTAAAAATTGACAAACAGATTTTTTATTCTCTTTTGGAGGATAGTGAAGATGAATGGCTGGCAGCTCCAAGGAGGGCTACTAACGGTAATCATTTTAAAATGATCAGAGTGGAGCCCCTAAACTTGACTTCTTCCATATCTTGTTGTTCTAGTGCGCTAAAACAATGCAATCAAAATATCTACCAATTTCAATAGCATTAACATTATGGGAGCGTCCAGCCACGTAAGCCTTTCCGGGCTTGGAGTCGTCGGAAACTCCACTTCCAAATATTCGATAATGTTTTCCTATAATGTTTTCCAAATAAAAAATAACTATTAATATCAAAATCCCACAATGGACACCGTTTAACTTTTTGTTTCTTTGTGTGCATTAGGTTTCTGTAGTCTTTTTTTTTGTCCTTAACTGATGAAATTTTTGATTTGGACGTTTCTTCATGTTTTAAATATTTTCCGTTCCTTTACTTTTTGGGCAAATCTTGTATGTGAGAGTAATTTTTGATAGCTGGCTCTTTTACTAGCTTTACTATCAAAAAGTACGGGAACGAACCTTCTGTTGTTATAATATCGTAACAACAGAGGAAAAACCATCTGTTGGAAATTGTTTACGTATCAATTGTCGTATCTTTATACTTTTATGTCTTTGACTCTATCGCCCATAAACTCAATTTACTATACCACAAAATTTGCCCGTGTGACTACCGACTAATGTGTTAAGAGGAACATCTGGTAACCCTATCTTGTACGATCTTATTTCAAATCATGGTACAATTATAAAAGGTAACAGCAAAACCCAGCTGATTTGATTCTAACTAGTGTCTATATGAATATGACAAATTTTATATGACTAAATACGACCCAGCAGGAAAATTTTGTAAGTATAAAATTAGAAATTTTTCTGTTGTAAATGTCCTCCCAATTCAATTTACTCAATCTGCCTGCTAGGAAAGTTTAAGAAAGCAAATCTTTCTTCATTGAATAATTCCGCAATTTTAAGCATTTTCCTATGTTTTACACATATAAGTAGCAACAGCTCAATTAGAGTTAAGAGTTAAATTTGATAGATTTTCATTCATGTTTTTAAATTTTATTTTGAGGATTCCAAAATATTTCGTTTTTAAAAATAACTTTTTTCATAATTTATTTGTTTCGTTTACATTTTCAATGACACTAGTATTAGTTACAATAACAAATTTCCATGTGGTTGTTGTATTGTTTTTTGTACAACAACACTTGCTGTTACCTTTTATTGTTATACCATGATTTCAAATCAGCTGTTTGTGTCAAAGTTTCATTCGGAAAAAATGCAACACAAACCTAAGTATTTATTTTAAATTGATTTTTAATAGCGTTTCATCTTAGTTTTGTGATGTTATTTATTTATTTTATATCATACAAAGCAATACAAATGCTGTTACCGGCCTAATAATTACATTACAATAAATACTAATATATATATATATTGCAACAATGGGAGTGACTGCTTAATTTTCCAGTAACATTTATTCAGTAAGTTCTAGTTTAGAGAGTATGCCGATTTTACTCTCTTTTGCGATAATACTGAGAAAAGTAAACAGACAACATTTAGTAAGATTTAGCAAATAAACAGCTGATTCAAGAAAACGTTTATATTTGCGCCAAAAAACAAACAAACAAAGGACGAACACAATCAATACATTGCCATCTTTCTGGAACTTGCCTAAAAGTATAAAGAATTAGTTTTTAATTTAATGAAAATTTGCATTATTTACGAATTTTCTTCCATTTTCTGCAATTTTTATACAACCTGATTTCAAATTGAACTTTGCAAATTAAACAAAATGTTTTGAATAATTTTTGTGTTTGGTCATAAAACAGGTGATCCAAAAATGGCTGAGTTGGCAAAAATCTTACTGAATAAAATTCTTTCAGTAAACTCCTGTAAGTTTGTTGTTGTTGAACTGTCAAACTTGCTCTCTCACTTGACTCTCGCTTACTGGATTTTTGGGTTAACAGACAACATTTAGTAACATTTGGTAACAATTGTTACCAAATATTGAGTAAACAGACAGAACTTACGTAGATATGGTATAACAGAATATAGTGATAGTATATGCTTACTAAATGTAAGCCTATTATCAAGTACACATCCCAAACATTTCTATGATAAATTCTATACTTTAATTTATATGTATATATATAGTAGGGTTAAACAGCATACTTTCCTATATTAACCGAAACATTATTTATGGTAAGCCAACGATTAATCGAGTCTACTGTACAATTAATTTCAGAGTTTACATTTGTAATTACCCATCCCTAAAGAATAAATGCATACCATCTGCATAAAAATACGGAAGGCAATACTGACTATCAATGCAGTTTACTATATCATTTCTTTTCCCTTGGTTCTAATGTGGGGAAACTCAAACAAAAAATTTTCCAAATTTTTATATGTGACAGTATGTGACATTTGAATTGAGAAAACATAAAAATGTATTAAAAACAACAACATTATCAGCAAAAATGGAAAACATGAATGAAAAGTATTTAGATATGGGTTCTTATTATATTCAGAATAAAGAGAATAATTTTTTCTATTTAAATTCATAGGTAATACACATAAATAAGTAGAGATTTCGGTGTAAAATGAGAAACAAGAAATTTGATAAAGAAAACTCTGATGACATGAATTAAGAATAGTGTTGTATGAACGGGTTAATTCATGTACATAATTCTGAGAGCGAACTACGTTGTTCGAATGCCCGTCAGAACATGGCATATGAGATATTCATATAAATTTTTTCCTCTGTTGTTACGATATCATAACAACAGAGCGAACAATATTAAACTTTTACGTGTTATATCGCAAGCTTATAATATAGAAACATATATTTTGTGTGCAGATCTCTGATTTTATTTACATTTTATACGCACATTTTCGCGCGATGATTCCCCTAGATATGTTTTCATAAACTATTTTGTCAAAATGCATTTTGTCGAGTCTTTAAAGGGCTAAACAGAATGTTCGCGTTGAGCGTTTTTTTGTTATCGCGTTAACGCACGCAAAAAGTTAAAATATATTTAACTCCGAAGCGCAGCGCACAACAAATTCGAGCGTTTGTGTTAAGGGCTAAGCAGAATGCTCGCGTTGAGCCATCCGTTGCGTTATGTGTTATCGAAAATACAACAACCACAAGGAAACGATAACACAAACGCTCGAAGTTGATGTGCGCTGCGCTTCGGAGTTAAATATATTTTAAATTTTTGCGTGCGTTAACGCGATAACAAAAAACGCTCAACGCGAACATTCTGTTTAGCCCTTTATCGTTTCCTTGTGGTTGTTGTATTTTCGATAACAAATAACGCGACGGATGGCTCAACGCGAGCATTCTGCTTATGCCATAAGGGCTATACAGAATGCGGTTCTATGTCTTTGACATGTGCTCGAATTATGTTCCCAATATATATATATATATATATAGAATGGAGCACAGCAAATGTGGGAAAATGTTTCACATTCGAGCAAACTCGAAACAACAAACAACATTTATTTGCGCCAACAGTGATAAATGTGTACACTGCTTTAAAACTGTTACAGAATCCCACCACAGCAAAAACATTTTCATTGTTGTAATCTTTCTTGCCATTTTCAAATAACAATACATTTTTTAACGCAAATCGGTAATTTTGTATGTATACTTACAAACATCAGTTGGTCCATGGTAAAATAATACAAGGTAGGGCAGCTTGAGGTGAATAACAAAAAAGCAACTATGCACATGTGGCCTCTTCTGCCAAAAATAAAATAAATATACGCAACAAGTGTTTGTGTTTATTTGACAATTTTTCAACACAAAACTAAAAACGCGAAAAATGAATGAAAGGTTATGATTTCTTCACAAAATTCAGTAGGGAATACCATAAAATGTTTGATTCATCCATAACAAAGTAATTACTTCCAGACGAACGTGTTAAAAACTTTATTTTCATTTTAATTAAACTTGAATATATTTGTGTTTATCTTAAATTTATTTGACATTGTATTCAAAATAATACACACACATACACAAAATATGTATTTTGATTTGATGGAACAAGCCACCTTGAGATAAAATTGTAATCAGTTGGAAGCTGTGCCCTACCTTGTAATAATTATACCATGGTTTTATCATAGTTGAATTTTTTCCAGCCTTACCTAAAATTCAACTAGCTCGTTCGACGTTTTCCACCACAAAAGTAGAACACATGTATTTATATGAAAGTTACCGAAATACGTCGACGTACGAATTTTCAAAGCCCTGAAATATATATTGTATGTAAATGTGCTTAAAGCTGCATTTTTTCGAAAGCAAATTTATGAAAAAGTTGGAAACATATGACTGCATGACCTTGTATAATTATGCCATGATATTAGTGATAAAAACTGAATAAAAATTTTGAATATTTCTGATCTCATATATTAAATGTTTGTATATTATTTAGAAAATATAATTTCTTTTTTTTACATTCTCTCAATGTCGATTTCGCATACTGTATTCATAATAATTAGTTAAATAAGGCATTGTATACGTGTAAGAATTTAAATAAATAATATATTATTTATTTGATTGTTATGATCATTGTGTGTACCATACTCAACATCGTCTATCATTTGAATACGCGTCAAAAGTCACACATCACAATTCTCGGGTAATTGCATTGCGTAGATGGTCACGATTACTTTTGCGTTTGCATTGTGACTTGGTAACCCTTAGTTAATAACCTCATTTTGCACTTACTGTGAATGATTTCTCTAAAAGTCAAGAGCTGCAAAAGTACGTCGCTTTACTGTCACTGTGAACATTTTTATAATGTTAATTCATTTTCAAGTTGTGGAAGCCAAATCTGAAAAAATATTTTGAACAAGTATTTTACCCAACCCCGTGTGTATAAAGTTGCATATTTCATAATAAACCAAACCAACTGTGAATTATTCTGCGTTCGAGTGTGGGAAGCGCACATGATGAATACAATCGAAAAGTATCAACACAAAAGAGTGTGGAACTGAAAAAAAAGAAAAGGAAAAAATCACCAAACGAAAGACTGGAGTGCGAAAGCAGCTGTTAAACTATAGGTAGACAAAGAATTGCGGACGATAGACGATAAAAAAATTATAAATTGATAGCGGCCAACAAATTAGTTTTCGTGTGCAGAATACGACATCACATACGCCAAATTCCGAGCAGGACGCATATAAATTACTTGGAAATCAATATTAAGCGATGCTAGGTGAAAGTGAAAAATGATCTGAATATTTGGAACGCAATGCAAATTTTCTTTATTTATTCACCGTAAGTTCCATTCTTATTGTGAATGAATGAAAAAATTTGCCAAGTATTAACAGAAAGGAAAATATACGAATCGAGAAAACAGCAGCACGCAACAAAGAGAAGCAATAGATGAAGTGCAAAAACACAGCAGCAGCAGAACAAAGAAGAAGATAACCAAGAGCAAACACTACGACGACGTTGACCCACTACAGAAGGAGTGAGTGTGTGTGTGCGTGAATGAGACGAAGAGTGCAATGTAAAAAATGTCTTCAATCATTCACAATAGCGTCGAGATTTTATTGTGAACAAACCAACGGACGAATTGCAAAACACCAAGAAACAAAAACGACGAACCAAAAGAGAAACTCTTAAAGATAATACAACAACAACAATGAAATTCAGCAATAATTAAGTGGAAGTGCCAAAAAACAGATAAATGTATTGCCAAAAAGACAACACAGTAATATGACCCACAACGACGGCACAAAACAGATCATGAAAGAACAAAAAAATGAAAATGAAGAAAACAGGTTGAAACGATAAAATAGGGAACTGTCAAAAAATTGTGTCAAAAATCTGAAATCTTATGTGTAGGAAATACGATTAGCAAG